AATCCCGAGCCAAAAGGAAGAAACACGCGGCCCGTTGTAGGGATTCATCAACTCGATGGACCTCCCTAGTTTTCCGCGTTTATTTGCAGCTTCTCGTGCAAAACCCTGCAGCCTTCCCTGGATCTCGCGCTGCAGATGCTCATCACTTCAGGCACCCGGCGTTGGAGCCGCGCACATGCAATGTACGCCAAGCGCCGGCCACTGGAAACTACCTGCAATGTGGGTCTGGTCGCGACTTGTTTGAAGCTACGTGTCCTTCATATCATGGCACATGCCTTTTGGAGTGTTTGGAACTCAGGTTGCATGCAACGCTTGACCGAAATCAGCCTCTTGAAGCTTCGCCTTGGCATCTTGCACCTGCAAGAGTCAGGTTGATCAGCAGGAAAATGGCGTGATGGCTGTTCACTCCACCTTTCTATGCCAATCGAATTGGGTAGGGCAGTCCTTACAGCAAACATCCTCAGGTATATTTCGTTGGATGCCCATCTGTCGCAAAGGGAACCGAAGACTACAGGTGCACTACTAGGCAAGCTTTCAATCGCGTTAAGCCCACAAACCATGCAAGACATGCGAACAAAAACACAAACAACAAAAACAACTCCTTGCTTGTGCAATTGCGATCCTCCGTTCTATGGCCCGAGTCATTCCACAAGGACAAAAAATGCGGTGCTCGCTGCTTTTACCCTCACTCTTTGCGCAGGCTCTGCCGCGTTCTGGTGCGGGCCCTAAAGGCGGCGCACGTCACACCTATGTCCGGCATTTGCCAGGTGAAATCTCGAGGTGCTTTAACTTTGGCTAGACCACTCCCCGAGAGCAGTCAATCAGCTTGTTGACCCTCTCTTGTGAACCGTGGCCTCGCCGAGATCGGCCTGAGCTGATATGACTTCATGCCAGGTTCAAGCTGCTTGGCACGTGCGTTTCCCAATGGGAAAATATGGGTGATGCGTATTGGCCGTTTGAACTCAACACACCTGCAGACCATCCAGCTGAAAGACCGCGGCGTTCTTTCAGCCCCGGAATATGAGATACCCAAATGGCTGCTTCGTAGTCAATTGTTTGGCGCCAAACCCACACATCACAAGAAATCGGGCCCTGGCATGGTTCACGCGGGGTCCCCTCTGCCCTCAACCCCGTTCGATCCCTGATTTTTTGGATGTGGGTCCCGCATCGCATTTGCTCGCCTGGCCAGGACCAAATAGTGTGTTGCCGTCTCAATACTGGTTACTGGCGTGCATTTTTTTTGGGCAAATGGATGTTGAAGCTGGCTTCCCTATGGTGAGGCGAAGCAACAATCGACGGCAGTGAGACCTCCCTCCTTCCCTCCCTCCCCTCCCCTCCCCTCCCCTCCCCTCCCCTCCCCTCCCCTCCCCTCCCCTCCCCTCCCCTCCCCTCCCCTCCCCCTCCCTCTCTCCCTCCCTCCCTCCCTCCCTGTGGATTTTGCGTGAAGAGGCCTGCTGGATGTCCAGCCCTTTCCAACCAAGCCGCGGCAAGATGCCGGGCCGTGGTGTGGGCGGCGCTGTTCCTGTGTGCCATGACCCCAAACGAGAACAACACTTTGAAACCAAAGGGTGGAAAGATCAGCTTCCCGCCGAGCACAGGGCGGCCATATCAGGCTTTCAACATGAGCAAAATTCAAGACTGAGGATCTGATATCTTGCAAATCCGCGCCCGCAGCGAGCGGGAGGATCTCGACTGCTGATACCAGTGCTCGTTGATGCGCGGCTATGGTCTAACTGACCGGTGACCAACTTTCAAAGTTGAGTAATATGGAATATGGGATGACATATCCTTCCTGCTGTCAAAAAAACGGGCATTACGCTTGCCAGCGCCCCCTGACCAAAGTTTGAGCAAAACCGCGCCTGGATGAACGAAAGTAAGCTCTTCACCCTCTGCCGGTGATGGCCTCAGCTGGAACCAGTTCAGGCTGTGGCTTGGCTTGGCCTTGGACCTGGAGGTGCCGTTGGACGACAACCAAGCATTGCTCAAACCACATCAACATGAAGCCCCATGGAGGACTCCACTGTGAAAGATGTGGGCCTCTGGTTTCTTTCTATCTGCATTGAGCCAGGCATCAGCCGCGCTGTTGGCAAACGCGGGAGCTTGTCCTCCAAACAGGCACTGTAGACTCTTGCCCATTGCAGGATGGCTGAAGCAAATCAGGGCCTTTTATCCCACCCTCCGGGTTTTGGAGCAGTCCAAGCCTTGTCAGTTTCCCGCGAGCAACATTGGGTTGTTCCTGCAGCATCCAAGCCACATGCCTCCAGGTGCCTTTCTACTGCTGCGAAACCACCTCGAGCCCTCATCCCCTCCAAGGTCCTGGATCGAGGGCCGCCGCTGCGACACGCCTTTGCAGGGCCACTGAATATGCCTGAGCCGGGGAAAACACTCAAATCGTTGTATCGCCAAATCGCAAAAAAATGCACTTCAGCAGTTCTCTCCCAATTCCTGGCGAACAACACTGCCAGGGAGAGCCTGAGAGGGCCGCAACAATACGACACGGGTCCTTGCTCTAACCCAAGGCAATTATTGAGGGCACTTCTTTGCGAGTTGCTTGCTGGAAGGGGACCTTCACACATAGCTTCCAGCATAGATTGCTACTCTTGAAGTTGCTACGAGCAGTGCAGAATGACCATCTTGCGCTGAGAATGTCCGGCCGAAAGATGAAAGGAACTTTCAACCACCTGGCCGCAATTCTTCCGAGAGCCCGGCCTGCCGGACCTGGTGGCTGCCTGTATCGCGTACAAGCTCTGCAGCACTGGCCGGTAGTCCATGGCCTCAAACGCGGCCGGGGCTGGAGTCAGCTCCGGCCATGTGGAGGGTTCTGCCGATTCCAAGGGGTCGCTGACACAGCAGCCTTCCACCCCGCATATTCGAACATCCAATCGTGGGGGAGGCCCCCGCAATGGAGGGCAGCGGAGAATCGTCTGGGACAAAAAACGTCAGAAGGCTCACGAGGGGGGAACTCCCCAGTTTTGGGTCTCCGGGCGTGGCCGCCCGCTGAGACGCTGAGCATCTCCAGTGACCAAATTGGCTCCTCCGCCATGGTCATCCCCGTGCGGCTGCAGCGGCACACCACCAGGGCTGAGTCCTTCTCCACCTGGACTCAACCCTGGAAGCCCTGGAAAAGTTAGATGCAGCAAAAGAGAACAACATTGAAACTGGTGCCATGCTTCAACCAAGTTCATTTGAAAGGACACCTATAGGGTCAACCATTGAATCATTGACTCAAAGGATTCAAGTAGCGAGCCCTCACATGGGGAGCTCGAATTTCTGCTGCAAGTCTTTAGGTTGTGGCCAAGCATCACAGAAGCAAACAAGGCAACATCAGTCGCTTTGCCCCGCAAGCGGAGACCTGGTGCACTGACTTCATTGATCATCAGCTTGCAACAGTTCGGGTAGTTAGACTAAAGGCCCTGTAAGTTCATATGAGCGACGGAAGGCACGAGCTCGAAGACATCTGACACACGGTGGCCCGGGTGATCCACATCCTGGAGGCCAGCAGAACGAATGGTTTCCATAGCGGCTCCCTTAACAATGTCCTAGTGTTAACGCACCGGGAACGGGCACACGGTATAGTGACACATCTCATTCAAGGCAGCATCTTTACTTTGGTAATGCCAGTTCAGCTGCACCTTCCTTCAAGCAAACCAACCCGCCGTGCAAACAAAGGTGCTCGACCTTTTCAGACAGATATCGATATCTTGCAAGCGCAACCAGGGGGTCCTTCACCTGCAGCGTGATGTCGCTGAATTGCGACATCCTGAGCAACTGCTGGGCAAACACATGTTTGTGGTTGGAGAAGCCGCAAACTGGCTGGCATCCTGCAACAACAAGATCAACGTGCCAAATCTTGAAAGCTTGGATCAATGTGGCGCGGGCAACACACCTCAAGCTCCGAATCAACCAGGCAGGAATGTCGCTGGCTCATATTTGAACGGTGGAACATTTTGCTAGCTCATATTCAATGACACACAGTGAGCAGAAACCCACAACAACTTTGGGGGGCTTGTTCGTGTGCTTCAAGTTGCGGCGTTGCGGCAGCAACGTTTGTTTAAAGGCTCCCCGAGGCCCTTGGCGAGAAGCAGCCTTTTGGCACGAGCAGATCGAAGCACCATCGTTTAAACGTTTGCGCAGAGTTCTGCCATGTCTGCCTCAGGGGCCGTTTGAACCATCGGCTAGACGTTTAAACATGTCTAAGTGGTTCGCCTAAACGGTTTCTGCCTCAGCGGCCCTTGAACCTGCTGGGTCAACGGTCCGCCGTTTTTCTCAAGGGTCCTTTAAACATCGATTAAACGTTTCGACATTGAACGACGGAAACACTTGCTCCCTCTGGCCCTTGAAAGTGACAGTGAATCTGTTTGAACGGTCGACTAAACGATGTCACCTCAAGAACACCGTTTAAACTTAGTAGGGGCTGTTTGAACTGTCACAGTACTCTAAACTATAGCACCTTGCCCATGGCTGCTTTCGTCTGCCATACCGGGTTCTTTGGGGGAAAACAAAAAAACAGTCATCCGATCGCAGCCATCCGCGAAGTAGCGGACAGTGAACGTGCCTAACCGTTTTGCTTAAACGTGTTTATCCCAGTCAGGTCTCGGCGTCGTGTGACTGGATAGCACCAAGAATACGTCTGTGACGCCCTCTGGCAGCTTCTGAAACTCCACCTCACACATTGCATCATTGCCCGGTCATTTTGCAACTTTCTTCTATGCCTGCCCTATGGCTCCCCCCCCCCCCCCCGCAGTATCCAACGCATCGCCCCGGGCCTGCATTGAAGTCTTGCCTTCCTTGGGCTCTCAGCTTCATGGACAAACACGCATACAGCCCGAAAGGGGCCCTGATAAACAAAAAACGAATCCCCCCTTGTGCTGCGACCAGGGCTGGCACGTCACGACACATGAAAACCACACCACAGTCGAGCTGAGCATCTCGTGCCGCATAATTCATGGATCCGCCAGCGTGATGCACGGCACCTCCAGAGGCGTCGCCGATCGGCATCTGCCCCACCTCAACTGCTGAGGCATACCCTGAATCCACTGAAGCACTTCACGGCGCTGGTGACTAAGCTAAGCCTCACGCCCAATAGCCGCGATAATCCAGCCTCGCAATGAAGCTTTGAACAGCAGCCTAGCCTCATGCATGTTGACCTCGTCTGCGCGTGCTTGTCATTTCGAGACTGTGCTTCCCATAGCTTGAGCAGGCTCTGGAAACTCTTGACTTGCGGGGCTTCCGGTCGATGTCAATGTTGCTGGAAAGGTCCAGCTTGCAAGCTAGACCCTCCCAAGCACCGTCCCCTGCCAAGGCGCACTCCGTTCATAACCCAGCGCACGCCGTGTGCCCCACGGTAATCCACCAGCTCACGAAGTGCTTGGCCTTCGAATACAACCTAGGCGTGCGCACATGATACATTAAGACCGAGTTCAAATCGAAAACACACGCATACGCAACATGTTGACATAGAGTGGGTTTGCAATCTTGGCAACAACTCGTCATGCTGGGCTTGCTTGCATTCCTGGGCTACTTTTATACTCTGTACTCTCCACATCATGCCTTGACGCCCACGGTTTTGCATGGGGTACGCCGCTGGTTTCTATGAGCCCTAAATTTGGATGTTTTATGGTCGTCCGGACCAATTGAATAAATCCCTCGACATGATCATGCGCCGTCAAAAATGGTACAATATCGCCATTCTTGTGGGTTATGCAAGCGGCGGAATGCGCTGAACATCATTCACAACAGAACTTGAAAGGATAAAGACATGCTCAAAAGTGCCTTGTAAAACACACCCCCACAACCCAGCAAGGGTAGGTGTTGTGTTTGGAACAGGCACGCAGGTGGCGTCCAGGTAGTAATTGGTAGGATCCTCTTCGTCCTCCTGACGTGGGCAACTGCCAGCTGATCAAAGCTCACGCGCCACATTTGGAACTACGCGGCAGTGGCACTTGGACGCAGGCTCGTTTTCTAAGCTGTATAGAGCACTTGGTCCGACACTTGGTCCCTCAAATCAAACTGTTTTGACGCCGAAAACTCTTGTGCCATTCTCCTTGCTTCGGCAAACGCTCTAGAGCAAGGTGTCCACAGCAGGACGAGGCATGCCCTAGTGGACGCCTTGCATGTCAAGCGCATGCTATTGTCCTGCTCTGGCACTGGGAAAGTCCAGCTGAAGTCGAAGCCCAATTTCCCTGAGCTCCGGCAGTGTGGTGGAACATCCCATTCTGCCCTCCCAACTCTGCAACAACACGCCCATTTCTTCAACAGCAAACTGATCTTGCAATGACCAAAAGCTAGTGTCATGCTGCCGTTAATACGACTCGAGTGAGAATCATGGCTGGCCCTGTGACGCCTTGGCGGGAATCAGCACTGGAACATACGTATCTTCCACAACATGCAGTGCAGTAAATTGAAAAGTCGCTTAGCATTGATACCACACAAAGTGCAAAGGTCACGGCCAGACTGTGCCAGTCCCTCCATATCCAAGCGGCAAGCATCCCCAAAGGAGGCCTTGGCTCAAGGGGGCAAGGCCGGCCCTCGATGGACGCAAGCAGTGGCAAACACTAGGCGGGGATGGCAGGGAACCACATTGACTCGCAAACACATGCCGGCACATAGCCGGGAGTTTTCGGGTTGGATGGTCATGATTGCCCAAGCGCAGCTCACACTACCAAGGCTAACAAGATAAGCTATTTCTTGATGCCGTGATGCCCATCCCCACCAATGTCTGGTTGTCAAATGCATCGGCATCCTTATCGTTTATTGGTTTGGATTCGGCTCTGCCATCGGCGAATCAGGAGTGTAGGTGGCGACGCAAGTCCATGCGGCCCGTCCTGATTCAAAGTGAGCTGGCGGTCACTGATGCGCTGCACAGTCGTCTCGTGCAACATCTGCGCTACAGCCTGAACAGGCGTATTTTGGTGGATCACAAATTGGCCTGCCTTTCAAGTTAATAAGAGAGTGAACAACCTGAAAACCACATATTCCAACAATTGCGACCGCGTGCAAGCTTGAAGCTCGCTTGATCTCGCTTGCCTTATGCGCTGCCAGCTATTGAAGACAAGTGGCTCTTGGGAAGGTCATCCCAGCAAGGTGCCTTACCCCGAGTGGTTGCATCATGCCGTTTGCTTTCAACTTCTGTTGACTGATGCTCGAGATGCCTTGCCCTGGCGAATTATCAACCACCAACGTGAACCTAGGACAAACACACTTCCTCCGAATTCGGGGAAGTCAGGCTTTTCTGCCAAAGCCACTCCAGCATCCGCGGCGTATCATTCTTCTCATCCCCAGTGAGTTCCACAGCATAGCCCATCCTCAGTACCCAAAACAGGTTCAACAAGGCTTTTAGGCACAGCCTCTTCCGCTCCTGACCAGCAATGAAGAAATTCTTCAAAGGTAACAGCATCTAAATGAATCTCAATGGCTACAATTCCCTTTACTATCATGCCAGCGTGCAGGACGGCATTGACCAGGACATGTATTGCCGGGCAATTGTCTGGTTGCTCACCTTTTGTTTGCTCGTCTCCCGGGAGTTGTGCAAAATTAACGTTGTGTTTTGCCAGCAGCCTACTTTTCTGACAACACCCCCGCCCACATCGCTCACTGCCGGCGAGCAGCTCTAGCGCGTGCTTGTCAGTCCTTAGTGCCCAACCACGCAACCACAATTTTAATCTCCGGCAACATCACTGCCCCTCAAGAGCGGCCATATTCTAGACAGCAGGACATGAATTGCCTTGACAGTTTCTGTCCTTGGATGCTGTTGACGTGAGTGGAACTTCCCGGGGCTGTCCATTTGACCTACCCTGCGTCTCAACTGGACCCAAGGCACACGTGGACCAGGGTCTCCTTCACTGGGTGGTCGATGTCGAGCTCCTTTTGGATGCAGCCCAAGACCGGGGGCACCAAATTCTTCATGGCCACGTTCCGCGGATAGCCCAAGTGCAGGAGCTTGGCCAGGATCCCCCTGTGAGTCAGGCCGTATGTCTACTTGCATAAGATCTGGCGTGCGTCCGGGTGGCCGCTTTCAATTGAATCACGTACATGCACTGCGAGCGTCCCGCACACCGCTTTTTCCGTGTTCCAATACTCATGCGCAGGGGCGGGACAGGCAGTTGTCACTATGGGAACTACCAGATGTGCAGCCACTGATTAAAACCCAAACAACACCGTCACGAGTGGCAAGCCTGTAGTCACGGTGGCTTCCAGCACCGAAGGAGTTGATTTTGTTCACATGCCACAGGCCATCATCCAGGCGATAGATGCTGAGCAACACTGCGCACCTTGCCAGCCAAAGCCCGCAAACAGGAATTCGCAACATGACAGCGTCATTCACACGCACGTGCCAGTGAACGACATACCGTTCAAAAGTTGAATGCAAACAGCATACAAACACATCCCACTTGTTCTGGATTTTGCTATCGGGGTTGCCTCCAACGTCAACAGCCTCTTGCAGACTTATGCAGCGCGACCTAAACCCTTCACCCCCTCTACTCCATTCTCCTGGGCTGATTGGCATGTGGTTCGCATGAGCCGCTCAACTTCCTTGCTGTGATGTTTAGTGACCACCGCAGAACATGTCAACAACATATTTTCAGGCGATTGGGTGGTTGCAACAGGGAGGCATTTCTATTGAGCAAACGCCGCAGGATAAACGCTCATAGATCGACATTGCCACATGATCGCCGAAGGGCTCATCGCCCGTCTGCGCTTGCTCGCCGAGCACGTCTGCGAAGATCTCGCCGCTCTCGGCATCCACCAGAGTGCACTGCAGAGCCGTGAATTTGGACAAGTCCCGCGAGTCGGTGGGAGATATCACCTCGTGAGATTCATCCAAACACATGAGGAAAAAACCCGCAAAAGCAAAGAGTGGCACACGGATGAGGCCGGCAACTACTAGCCCCAACACAAGCGCCAGGGCTTTTTGCCCACCACCCTGGCTGATGATTCAGGCCAGCGGCAAAGAGCAGATCTGACACGCTCGGGGGCACCATGTCCAGCCGAACTTCCAATGTCTGCTTCCCTGGGTTGCACATGCGCATCGTCAGCAACAGCCTGGTAGACCCTTTTGCCTGTGAAGATTGCCTTCTCATGCCATCCATTCACTTAGTGTCCACCTTGGGGCCCTTTCTTGTTGGTCCATGTTTGTGGGCAATTGGACGGTATGCCACCCAAAACCCGGAGGATTCTCGTCAGGGCAAGATGCCTTGGCGAATGGTGGCGTTGCTGACCTCGCCCAAGGAGCTGACTGGCGAAATCCTGACCTGGAGAGTTTCGGCCGCACTGAGGCGCCCATCAAAGAGAAAGTTCAAGGAGTCACTGTTATTTAGCTACTCTCCTTCCAATACTCTTGGGTTATCTTAGGGTGTCTTTGCCAGAAGGCTCAAAATGGTTCAGAAGGCCTATGCCGCCTTCACCCTCGCAGCGGCCAAAGAGGTTTGATCGAGAGCAACCCCCCCTTGCCCCCTGCCTTGGCGTCGCTGGCAGAACGGATGCGGTCCCTCGCAGAATGTGCTCCTTGGTAGGGTGGGCTGCCCACACTTGTAAAGGCTCGTGCGAGGTCCCGACAAAACCAAAAAATAGAGATCCTTCATGCTTTGGATTGCTGCGCTCAAAAATTAGCTGATGCATCTCTTTGCAGATTCCTGTGCTCCAGCACATGCAGACTGGGCAGCCCTAAGGCTATGTTTGCCACAATCTAAGCCTGCCTACAGCCCACATGCCTGGCCATTGGGCCATGCGTCTGGCTGGGCCGTAGGGGCCAGTGCCCACGATATTGTACTTGAAAGCTTGGGAGCCATGATCATCAATGATGTCCAGGGCTTTCTCCTGGCTACAGGGAGCCCTCCTGATGTCTTTTCTCTTCCGTAAGGATCCCCCGAAAGCAGCGGCTTCTGGGCAGGCTTCAATTTGGATTACAGGTAACTTCCCCGCACCTGGTCAAAGAGGACGCAGCTGGCAGTCAGCGAATCAAAGATACCCTTCGGGTAGGTCCAGTTAAACTCCACATGAACCGCCCGTAGCACTCGTGCACGGACTGACCTATGAAGGACACATTTGCACGGCCAATCATCTACACTTGTCATCACTTACCTATGTCGCAAGTGGCTGCCTGTTTGGTGACTTTTTCCAATGTTCATTGTCCACCGCTGTTCAGGGGTTCCAGCCAGGTAGACTGTAGATTTCGTGTTTGCGGAGGAAGGGCAATCACCAGCCACATTGCGGACTGGTCGCCTGGTATAATCTGCAAGTTGCTTCGCCGAGAGCTGCCTCGGAGCGAAACAAAAACCACACCGAGGGCCTGTAGATGCCGTTTGAGACTGGCCATTTCGGAGGGCACAGTCCCTCTATAAACGATTGGCATGACTGCCTTGGGTATGTTGCGAGCCATGGACCCAGGATTCATGGAACATGAGCTGAATATAGCTGAATATATTTGTTTGGGCCCTCGTAGCCCAGGCTTGTACGCCAATTCTCTGGGCGACGGGCTTTGGGCCAAGGGGCGCGCGATTGCGGGCGCTGTAGACCAGGCTGCTGGCCAAGTCCTCGCTCAAGGAGGCGGAGATGTCATCGGCATCTTCCCTGAGGACATGGCAGCACCTCCCCTTCAACCACATGACTTCCATGCTCTGAGTGCACCAACGCACGGCAAAGACTGCAAGCATCTCGGCCCGGTCCTTCTCAGTTTCATGGAGCAATCCTCCGTTTCCGAGTCGGGCATGGTGCACAGATCCAGGGGTCCAGTCTTCCCAGTGGGCAGCGTCCAGACTGACTGCCACAAATCCGCCCCCACATGGCAGCGCTTGCATATGGCCGCTGCCACCTGCAGGGACTTGCTGAAGCGAGTGAAGACGTGGGAACAAATGGGTCGGCTCAACATGGGGACCAATTCTTGAATGGTTGCCAAAGAGCACAAACAGGAAGCCAACCACCTGGGTGCCTGACTTTTAGAAACAGAACATGGAATTGTGGCAGTGTAAATTGCGTTCTGTTCTGTGGTTTTCCAGGGATGTGCACAATTTGTTTTTTTCTGCGGTTCGAATCGGTGTTTCCAACGAAAAGAATCGACACCACCTAAACGCAACACCATCCCAAAAAACCGCGCCAACTCTCAAACAGTCTTTCCAGCGGATCAAGCCTAACAACCAACAAACACCTTGCGAACACAACGCACAGAAAACCAAAACATTCAACAACAAACACTCCTCAAAAAAGCTTCCAGAAGTAGCCACTCACCACTCCAAGGGCTCCGCGATTTTCTTTTGTTCTCTGGCTTTCTACAGTTTGTTTCGACTCTGGATATGGCTGATTCATTGGATTTGTTTGAAAGGAACTCCTACTCAAAATCGCAGTTTAAAATGGAAATTGGGTTGAACCCATTTGGAGTAACTTGTGCGTAAATGCGAACTGACTTGTACAAATAATTCTATTGGAAAGGACATCCTGTGTAGATTCCAATTTGACATTGAATAATTCTTCTTTGAACTCTACTCGATTGGATTCTTTACTTACCCAATTCTATCTAAGCTCTACTTGAATTGTAAAGTTATTCTGAAGTTAAGACAGGTTTTCCAATAAGATTCGCAACACGCATTTCCTTGTTGAGTCGTACTTAAGCTCTATTCAATTTCTAATTGAGCTTTAGAGCGGCCGTTGGTGGAGATGTACATTTGTGTGTACGCTACAAACCACTGTTTTACGGTGCTTCTGACCATGGCAGTGCTGGGGGTTTAGGTAAACAAGTCCGTTTTTTCTGACCATGGTAGTGCCGGGGGGGGGGGGGACACGATTTTTGGACATTGTACTTCATATCAATATCTTTAATCAAGTTCTTCTTCTACTTGAATTCCAACTGATTCTAAATAGACTTTGATAAGCACATATTCCAATCAATCTTATTTGAAGTTACAACGCGCATGATTCCATTTGAAACTTACATTTACATCTGATCTCCTTTCCAATATAATGTTCTTTACAATTCATATAGCCTTAAACAAAATACTAACAAAGAGCTCAACATGAGCAATGCCAGTGCAAACAACAAAAACAAACTATGGTTAAAGGTGTACTGCCAAAGTCCCCAGTCCTCTTTACAAAGACCTAGATGATTTTTACGCAGAAGTTTGCACCATGACCAGAAGGTGAACTCATGGAAGCGCTCCCTTGAACAGGAAGCGCTCCTCTTTCACTTGTTATTCACTTTTTGGGGCTGGCCACCCCCGTCTCCGCCATGATTATGAATGCACGTGAGGCACTTCGTTGTCTGAAGTGAGTGCCTCGGCCTTTGCTCCCCGCCTCCAAGCCACGGTGATCCCGGCGGATGTAGAGGGCAACTGGCATCTGGAGACTTCCGCGCCTCGCTCAAGGACTGGCCACCCAGGCTGTTTGGACATTGGTTTGATGTGCGGTCTGCAGTGGTTTTTGATGTTTTGCATACCTCTTATGCCTTTCCGGCGACTTTGGCAACTCTGAAAAGAACGCAGGCGTCAATCCACTTTCTCAAGCCGCAGCCAAGGCAACGGCAGCCTCCCTCACGCTTCCAGCTCTGCATCGGTGGCTTGAACAAAGCAGCAAGTAGCCAAACAGGGACTCAACCTCCGAACAAATCTCAATTTTGTCACCCAGGAACCATCCACATCCATCACTTAAGACTGAACAAGGCCCAGTGTAGTGCAGCTTCCGCCCCGAGGCGAGCGGCAGGGGCTTGGTGGTCTCGCCGGGGTCCCACGACACGTACTGGATGTCGCGCAGGCACCTCACCTGAGAGGCTCGCCTGTTGCTCGTGCACCCAAAGGCTAGGCCGATCTTTTTGCCAACCAAAGGAAGGAATCCCTAAGAGCTGTTTGGTGCCGCACCTATCTACCAAACGGATCCTAAAAGGAATGGCGAAGCCACCTCATCGCCGGAGCCGATCAGCTTGCGGATGACCCCGAGGCATTGCTGGATGATGGCCTCGCAAGCTGAAAAAGGCACGCCGCGTGCGAGCAAAGGGTAACATCGACATGGTGGCACATTCCTTTTAGCCAAACAGGTAAAACAAAGGCTCAACATGCTCTTGCCTTTGGCATCGCGTATTCCGACTTGTGGAAAGTGGCGTCAGTTTTCAGCTACAAAAACTGATGCCATCGTTTGACAACCGAGGGCCTCCCCCTCCATCCTCTGCAGCTCACGCGGTGACACGGCCCTGCTGATGTCGAGGGCTCCAAGCCCGGTTTCCAGATTCACCACCAAGGTCGCCTCAGGGATTCAGGCCCACCAAGCCATCCAGCACAAAAAGAACTTGGATAACGGGAAACGCAAGTCATTTGATGTCTCGGGTGTATCTGCAAGAGGCGGCGGCGTTGCTTCCAGCCAAGCAACCTCTACTATCTCCCTGGGCAGGATACCTTGGCCCAGGCTGCGCTGACAACCCAATTGAACAAACAAGGCCGCCAGCAAATCTCTGGCTAGCTGCAGATCTGAGATCCAGCCGGCTCAAAAAGGACCTGAGCCAGGACATTCATTGTGTGCCAACTGCTTGCTTCCAGAACAGAACGCCAGTACGAACCGGTTTGAGCATAGTGAAAACACTGCTTTGGATTCTCCATTGTAGAACGCTGGTTTGGCAGATGTCCCGTCTGGATTTTGTATGCCTTGTTCCGCTTTTAGGAAACTTTGCTAACTCACTGCGAATGCCCTTGGACTTCTACTAGCTGTTCTTCTGGCTCCCGCCTTCATGCTCCCCACAATGACGCTGTTGGGCAGCACAAAGGTCGCCAGCGGCTCTGGTGCTGGCGCCTCGGCGTTTTCGGATGTGTCCTAGTCGCCCAAGGTGGCGAGCAAAACAAGGCACCTTTCCATTTCTCAGTTTGCAGTGGGAACCCAAAAGTGCGCATTCAAAACAGCGAAACGTGGGCGGCTGACGGGTGTTTTCCAGTTTTGTGCGAATAATTAAAAGGGTGGGGCGGCCTTGTCGACAGCGGCAAGCATCTTGCTGGCGGCCTTTTCCTCAAGGATGTCCTACGAGGGATCGACATCCACAAGAACACGTCTTGCAAACCGATCGCGGTTTGGATTGGCAGTTTGCGCGTTTGATCCCAATGTGCTTTTGGAATCTGTACGGTGGTGTTTGCAAGTTGGTGATTGTAAGGTGTTCGTGTAGTTTGTAAGGCAGTTTCCCCCCAGGTCCCCAGCACATCACCCTATCAAATTTGGACTTGATCCTGGATTCGTCTGGGAGGTACATCATGGGACCATGGCCAATTCAATCCAAATCACGCTGACAGGTCATTCTTCTGACCCAGGCTGCCAGGCCTTCTCAAAGCCCTCGCGCTGCTCTATCTCGGCAATCCTCATCCACTCTGTATTCCTGAGCAATTGCAGAGCCGTGCCCTTGGCGCTAGTCAGAAACGTCCGACTCAACCAAGCGGCGCCATGTATTCCGGCTCTACTTCAACGTCCACTTCCTTGGCCTGAGCAAGGCTTACACTGCAAAGCTGCGGCCGCATGTGCGAACACAGTTCAGTACTTCTCGCTGGGTGCGGTCTGTACGAGGAATGATGCGTTGATACTAGTTGATACTGCTTCGTTTGTGGTGGCAGCAGGCAAACCTGCATGTTTCTCGCTCAAGCCATAGAAGCCAGAAAGAGGCCTTTCTTGTTGCTTCAAGTGAGAGCTCGAACTGCTCAAGAACAAGTGTGATGCCGTTGCTCGCTGATCTAGTCTGTAGTCTTGTCGCCAGCTCATTGGTCCCCCGCGGTGACGGGTCGCCAATCCAATTCTTTTTGCACACGCGCACACACACATACGCAAACACATGCAAACACATGCACAAACACGAACAAGCAAAGAACCAAGCCAACAAGCAAGCAAACAAGCACACACACAACCACAAACAGCAAACAAACGAACGAACGAACGAACAAACAAACCAAACCAAACCAAACCAAAACAAAACAAAACCAACAAACAGAGAGACAGAGAGACAGAGAGACAGAGAGACAGAAAGACAGAGAGACAGAGAGACAGAGAGACAGAGAGACAGACAGACAGACAGACAGACAGACAGACAGACAGACAGACAAACAAACAAAACACACAAACACAACTACAAACACAATCACAAACACACAAACACACTCACACAAATACATGCACAAACACAGACAGAAACACCCCACCCACACACCACACACCCCACACACACACACACACCCCACAAACACACACACACACCCCACACACACCCCACACACACACCACACACACACACCACACACACCACACACACACACACCACACACGCACACCCCACACACCCCACACCACACCGCACCGCACCGCACCGCACCGCACCGCACCGCACCGCAGCGCAGCACAACACAACACAACACACCCACACAAACACACACACACACACAAAAGCAAACAGAAAAACAGCGCACACACACGCAGACACAACCACATGCAAAGGGGCCTATAGGGCCGGTTTATGTTAGGGTGGGTGTCGGGTTAATTCAGGTTGGGTTAGAGTAGGTTTAGGGTGGGTTTGGGGGAATTTGTTTAGGGTTGGCTTGGGGTTGGCTCGGGGTTGGTTTCGGGCTGCTTTAAAGTTGTTTTACGGGTGGCTTAGGGCTGGTTTAGGGCTAGTTTAGGGTTAGTTTAAGGCTGGTTTTAAAATTGTGCAGGGCTGGTTTCAAGCTTGGTTTGTAGGTTGGTGTTGGGGTGGTTGGGGTGGGTGTGGGTTTGGTTTAGGGCCGGCTTCGGGTAGGAGAGCAGACCAGACCAAGAGACCAGGAAGATAGGAGACCAAGAGTCCAGAAGACTAGGTTTCAATAATTTTGGTTAATCCCCTAAGACATTTCCTTTTGATCCCCTGAATAATTTATTTGATGCTCACCCCCCACACACGCAAGCACACACAACAAGCAAGGAAGGAAGGAAGGAAGGAAGGAAGGAAGGAAGGAAGGAAGGAAGGAAGGAAGGAAGGAAGGAAGGAAGGAAGGAAGGAAGGAAGGAAGGAAGCAAGGAAGCAAGAACACACAAGCATGCAAGGAAGCAAGGAAGCAAGGAAGTAAGCGAGCAAGCAAGCAAGCAAGCAAATACAATAAACAACCGAAGCAAGTAAACTACACAAGCACAAACACAAACATACACGCACACAAGCACACAAGCACACAAGCACACAAGCACACAAGCACACAAGCACACAAGCACACAAGCACACAAGCACACAAGCACACAAGCACACACGCACACAAGCACACAAGCACACAAGCACACAAGCACACAAGCACACAAGCACACAAGCACACAAGCACACAAGCACACAAACACACAAACACACAAACACACAGACACAAACACACACACACACACAGACAAACGCACACGCACACGCACACAAACGCACACGCACACAAACACACAAACACACACACACAAACAAAAACACACACACACACACAAACAAACACACACACACAAAACAAACACAGAAACACACACACAAACACACACACACAAACACACACACACAAACACACACACAAACACACACACACACACACAAACACACACACACAAACACAAACAAACAAACAAACACACACACACACAAACAAACAAACAAACAAACAAACAAACAAACACACACACAAACACACACACACACACAAACACACACACACACACACACAAACGCACACGCACACGCACACGCACACGCACACCCACACACACAAACACACACACACACACAAACACACACACAAACACACAAACAAAAAAAACACACACAAACACACACACACACACAAACACACACACAAACACACAGACACACCAACACACACACAAACACACACACACAAACAAACACACACACACACACACCCACACACGCACAAACACACACACACAAACACACACACACAAACACACACACGCACCAACACACACAAACACACACACAAACACACACACACAAACACACACACACACAAACACACACATAAACACACACACACAAACAAACACACAAACACACACAAAAAACACACACACACACAAACACACACAAACACGCACACAAACACACACACACACAAACACACACACACACACCAAAACACACACACACACACAAACACACACACACACAAACCACACACACAAAACACACACACACAAACACACACACACACACACAAACACACAAAACACACACACACAAACACACACACACACACACAAACACGCACAAACACACACAAACACACACGCAAAACACACACACACACAAACACACACACACACAAACAAACACACAAACACACACAAAAAACACACACACACACAAACACGCACACAAACACACACACACAAACACACACACACACACACACACAAAAACACACACACACACAAACACACACACACACACACAAACCACACACACAAAACACACACACACACAAACACACACACACACACAAACACACAAAACACACACACAAACACACACACACACGCA